CAGTTGGTATCCGGAGGCCCAAACCTCGTCGCAAGCAACCCGTGTAGGCACCCAGGAGGGCTACACGAAGATGTAATTCATAGAGGAAAGACTCGGTTGGCTCGAGACGAAAAAGGACGAATGGTCCCGGCTGCAAGTCATTGTGTGCGAGCAAGCCGAGCAATTTGTGAAATTGATGGAAGATAGAGATGCTCTCCGCGAACAATTGCAATTTGTTCAAGGATAACCAATGAAGCACTTGAGAAATGTGCTATCTTAACGCGCGTTGTGGGCAGAGACGCACATGGGGTTGGTGCGGCGATGATCAAGCCGCCCAAACCTCGCAACTACAGCGGCGCTAGAGATGCTAAAGAAGTAGATAACTTCCTCTTCAACATGGAGCAATACTTTCGAGTGTGTCAATTGAGTGGCGATCAGAAGGTGGATACTGCCATCATGTACTTGTCCGAGAGCTTTGGTGGCGCACCAAGCATGCAGCGAAGCAGGAAGAATCAAAATTGATACTTGGGTGGAGTTTAAAGGGGAACTCAAAGAACAATTCTACCCCGACAACACAGAATTTGTTGCTCGGATGAAGTTGATAGAGTGCCGCCAGAAGGGTTCCATTCCAACTATGTGAAAAAATACTCGACGATAATGTTGGACATCACAGACATGAATGAGAAAGATCGAGTGTTCAATTTTGTCAATGGGTTGAAGGAATGGGCGCAGCGAGAAGTTTTAAGGCAGAAGATTGATACCCTTGCTGCTGCAATGTGTGTCACTGAGAGATTAATGGACTACTCAGTCGGGAAAAGCCGGCAATCCGAGAATGATTCAAGTGGGACGTCAACACGCTCCAATAGCCCGACTCAAAGCTCTCCAAAGGGCGCAGAGATCGGCTCTCGAGTATCGTCCAACACCGCAAATACTTAACAGAGAAGAAGTGGAGGAGGTGATGTGACCGGCTCCCACAACTCCGGAAACTCCAAGGCTAGCGCGTCCTCGACAAATACCAAGCCACCGAACTGCATTCTTTGTCGAGGCCCACACAAATGGTGGGAGTGCGAGCATAAAGAAGAGCTTGACAAGATCCTAAAGAGATTGTCATCTATGTCTGCGTAGGAGTCCCAAAGATAAAGAGGAAAAAGAGACCAGCAGAGATAACAGCCCATACTACGGGATGTACTCCATGCAAATGACTACACCAGCCGAAGTCCAGTACCTATCAACAATGCGAGTGATGGAGCCAGAGAAACAAAGCTCGCACTAAAGACGCCCAAAGGCGGGAGATGAAGCCCAAAGAATCGGCAACATCCTAGATACACACCCGCCAACCTCAAAATCGACACCCGGTTTGAAGCAAAGAGTGACGAGCCCATAAACCCAAAGACAAGCTCCAAAGATTCTGGTTGTCAGCCGCATCAATGGCGCGTCAGAGACTTAAGATAGTTTACGATTTTCTAGTTATGTTGTAACTCTTGTAAGTCGACAAGATCGTCAACGGCTTAAGTAGGGGAGGATGTTAGAATCCAACTCCTTTTGATGTATTAGATTCCTTTTAGATGCTTTCCTATAGTTTAGTTTATGTTTTCTTAGCTTGAGGTCCCATTATTGTGTTACTGTCATTTCAGCGTTCACTAGGGATTCTCCTTGTAATCAATTTAAAGCTCCTTAGAGGGTGAATGATTAATGAAATCTTAAGCCTTCTACCAAGTGTTGCTTTGCTTTTATGCTTGTTTATTGTTAGACCTTTATAGATATTGTCTTACTTGCATAATAGCTCCCCTCTAAACCAACTTGATGCATTAAGAACTCGTGGTTCGGACCCGCTTGTACCCACCTTGAAGTATCGGCCGTCGCAAGCTCCGACCACCCGCACTCTGTCGCCAACTAGACGTGAGAGATCCTTTGATTTAATTGCCCGCTTGTATTGCTTTGTGCTCACAAGCCCCTCTTCCGCTCAAGGCTAGCGTTCTTGCCGCCAAAAGGCTAAACGCGCTGCACGTTTCGGGGTCCAAACTCCCTGACCGTGACACATAGCCACTCACCGACCAACTCAAAAAAGACAATTTTGGGTGGTGTGAGACGGCCGAGCAGGCGTTCGTGAAGCTTAAAATGCTATGACGACGACACCGGTTCTTGTTATGCCTGATTTCACTAAGTTTCTTTTGTGGTGGAGTCAGACGCCTTGGGGTAAGGCCTCAGCGCGGTGTTGATGCAGGAGGGATAGCCGGTGGCCTATTTTAATAAAGTCTTGTGGCGGAATGGCCGTGGTAAGTCGATCTACAAGAAGGAGCTCATGGTGGTTTGTTTGGCCGTCCAGAAATAGAAACACTACCTTTTGTGGCGGCGATTCCTCATACGCAACGATCAACGGAGCTTAAAGTTCAGAACATAACTAAGGGAAGTGGGTTCGGAATACTAGAAATGGGTTAGGAAGTTAATCGGGTTCGATTTCGACATTCAATATAAACCCGAGGTGGCCAATCGGGTAGCTGATGCGCTGTCTAGGCGCGGCGAGGTTGTCGGTGAGCCGAAATTGTTGACTTTGGTTACGGTTCAAGGAGTAGATTGGGATCAATTAGAGAGAGAAATTCGAGGAGATGAATGGATATAAGGGATGAAACTGACGATCGAAAAAGGGGAAGTGTAATAGACCGACTTTAGGGGGCAATTAAGTAAAAGACAAATTTAATTAAGAAGAAGAAAAGGAAAGAAAGCAATCACCTTTTAGTATGTTTTATTATGGTTTTTCCATTTTTGTTAAGTAGTCACATGTAAGATTTAAGGTCAACCTTGACCATTAGTATAAGTAAGTTAGTATGTGTAACATAGAAGGGAGGCAGAAATTGAGTGAACCTCTTGAGAGACTTGTAGCCTCAAGCTACTAGAGAGATTTGTAGCCTAAAGCTACTGAACCAAGTTATGGCTATCCTTATGTAATCCAACCGTTAATCAATCAAATGTTCAAGCTTTTAGCCTTAAATTAATATTCTTTGTGTTAATCTTGGGGTCGAAAATCTGGTCTATAACAGGAAGGAGGAGCTGCGGATATACAGTAGATGGTGACCATGTTTTTTACAAAGGCCAATTGGTAATTCCTCCTAAATCTGCCTCGAAACAATTCTTGCTCCGAGTTTATCACGTTTTTCCATAAGGAGGGCATGAGGGTGAGTCCAAACCATACTTGAGGTTGGCACGAGAATGGTTTTGGGTTGGGATAAGGCGTGAAGTCGCAACCTATGTCAAGGAGTGTTTACTTTGTCAACGCAATAAGCACTCCTAACAATCTTCGGCGGGGCTTTTGCAACCATTACCCGTCCCGAAATGAGTGTAGGAAGACATCACTATGGACTTTATTGAGGGGTTGCCGAAGTATAAGGGAATTGATACAATATTAGTGGTGGTTGATCGTCTATCCAAGTATGCTCATTTTTTGGGGCTCAAGCACCCTCGCGGTGAGAGTGGCTGAGATTTTTGTGAAGGAAGTAGTCCGGTTGCACGGAGTTCCTAGTAGTATAGTGACAGATAGAGATCGAGTGTTCGTAAGCTCGTTTTGGAAGGAGTTGTTTTGCTTGCAAGGGACGGACCTCAAGCGTAGTACATCCTATCAGCCTCAAACCGACGACCAGTCAGAGGTGGCCAACCGAAGTCATGGGCTCGCTGGTTACAATGGGTTGAATATTCCTATAACACCACCACACGTCGACCCACATGACTCCCTTTAAAGTTCTGTACGGCCGTGATCCACCACGTTTGATGAGGATGGAACTTGGGCAGACCACGGTGGGTACGGTGGAAGAGTTATTACAGGAACGTGATATGATGTTGGATGAGCTGAAAATTAATTTGTTAAGGGCTCAACAAGTCATGAAGTCAAACGCTGATATAAAGAGAAGGGAGGTGGAATTCCAAGTTGGGGATCGAGTGTTCCTTAAGTTATAGCCATACCGCCAACGTTCATTAGCTAAGAGGCCATTTGAGAAATTGGCAGCGTGCTTTTATGGACCGTTTGAGGTAATTCAACGAGTAGGGAAGGTGGCATACAAGCTGCGATTGCCAAAGGATTGTAGGATCCATCCGGTTTTTCACGTCTCTCGGTTGAAGCAGGCCTTGGGTATCACCCCTAGCTCGCCAAATATTCCCACTCAAATCACACCCGAGTTGGAACTAGTAGTTGAGCCCGAGAGAGTGCTGGACAGCAAGCCGAAATTGGGCAAGGAGGATGGAATGGAAGTGCTGATACAGTGGCAGGGATTACCGGAATTCGAGTCCACTTGGGAGGATACTCAGGCCATCAAGGTGGGTTTCCGGACTTCCATTGTGAGGACAAGGTGGCTCTTTTGGTTGGGGAGTATTGCAACGAACCCACCATCTCCACCCGTTACACTAACTTACCACAAGCGATAGAAGCAACAGCAAGTTCAGACCAACAACAAGCCGTGGCCAATGCAAGGTCAGACAAAGGACCGTTAAAACAGACAAACACCTTTGGCTATTTGTTTGTTCCGTGTTAAAAGAGGAAGAGGACCAGAGTAGTACTTGTAGTAATTAAGGCTATGTTTGCCAATATTCGCAATTTAGTAGTAGTAAAAATAGTGGTAGCCTAGAAGAGTAAAGTATCAAGAAAAATTGTAAGTAACTCATGGAGAGTAATGGCCTAAAGCCATTGAACCCCTTTCGCAAGCTTTAAGCTATCTAACAATCAAACATTCAACGTTTCGACTATATCATCTTGTTGCTACACGATAGTCCGTTGCAGCAACCCATTACACATACCTCCCCCTCTCCACAGCCCCGCCTACTATCTCATTATTCATTCCCCAAACACCCCTAACAGCTATGTAATCAACTACTACTAGCAATACCCACCTACAAACTCATTATATATTCCCCAATTCAAGCATATGTGCCAACAGGGAAGAAAGATGGATTACTTTAAGCACCTTATAGACAAATGAATGACCAATACAGAAAAGCTTGCCAAAGTATGATGACTACAAGATTCAAACATGTACCTGCATTCTCAATGAAGCTCTCCCATTTCTCAGCATCTTGTACATTAATAATTAGATGCTCAGGTGCGTACAAGTTTGAGAAAGAGACTGCCTGCATGTGAAATGTAATAAACACATCAACGGACAGTGCATTTTAAAAAATAAAAAGAATAAAAAAGGATCACTTAGTAGGAGATGGAAAGCTTGTTAAACACTTAAACTTGGAAATGTAAATTAGATACTGCAGCATGCATGTTAAGCAGCAGTTGAAAGAGACAAAATCACAAACCTCAACCATATCACAAGCGAACACGATAAAACTATGAGATAATGCTTTTGATGCAAAATCCCCTCTAGGTAGATTTTGACATTGCTTGCTAATTTCATCCTCAATAGCATTTAGATTCACACCATCACCAGCTACTACGAGAACAACCTGACTATCTGGTCCATGTTCAGCCTGAAAAAACACGAAATATTGAATAATACATCACTTCACAAGCAGACAAGAATATTGATCCATTTTACACATACAAAACAATTAAATTGATAAACATTCTAAGCAACAATGCCTTAAGGCACACATGAAAGACACAAATAGCATCCCATTCCCCTTTTCTACTTAAAGGTTGGGCATGAAAGTAGCCTGTTCAAAACAGTGATTGAGATGAGGACTTTTGCAAAACATATATCACTCTGACAGCAATGTAGATTATCTCTTCTCCATGGTATGTAAGGGCTCAAGCCCTTCCTGGATGCATATAAAATGCGGCCCGGAAGGGGTGCATATTATATGCTGCCTACTCTTCCCTTCAAAAATCTATTACTTCGTATATGTTTATTAAGGAAATCGTATGATGATGCAGATATCAACATGGTTAGCTTCCAAAAAAAAGGGTACAGAGACATACCTGAGAAAGCAAGTCTGCTGCAACATGAACAGGATTAGCATACTTGTCAGCAATCACTAGAACTTCTGAAGGGCCAGCAGGCATGTCAATCGAGATCATAGCTTCACTATTCTGATGGATAGTGAGGAAGTCAATCAGAAGAAAAGTTTAAATTTAGCTAAGAAACTACAATAAGTGACTAAACTCCTACCTGCAGGATCATCTTTGCAGCAGTTACATATTGATTTCCTGGTCCAAAGACCTTCTCAACCTATATATTTGAAGAAAATTAGTAGAAATGGAAGTTGGGCAAAGAATTTCCAATTAAAAAGAAAAACCATCGGGCACACTGGTGTGTATATATACAAAATATCTGAAACAATAAAAACAACCTCAAATATAGATATTTATAGTCTTAGTAGTTAGTACCTTAGGGCAAGAAGATGTTCCCCAGGCCATAGCAGAAATGGCCTGTTCAATAGAAAAAGAGGATGGATATGAACTCCAACAGATACAATAATGATTTAAGTTGAATTCAAGAGGTTGGAGAATTTTTCATAATACAGAATATTGTATTTTTAAATAGTACAGCCTCTCAGACCTGAGCTCCTCCAGCTTTAAGGATATGAGTGACACCAGCTTTCTTGGCACAGTAGAGGACTTCCTAAAGAAGAAGAAAAGAGAGCATTAGTCATCAGGAAACTCCCAGAGTCATTCTACCACTGCTGGAATGATGGGAAGTCAAAGATACCTTGCATATGCTGCCATCCTGGCTTGGAGGTGTGGCAAGAACTACAGTTTTGCAGCCCGCAATTTTGGCAGGCTAGAATAACAAGTAGATAATGATGTCAACATTATTCAAATTTTGAAATTTCTTAAAATTTAGAGGCACTAAGATAAAAAGTTGCAACTCACAATTGAAAGCATAAGAGCTGTGGATGGCAATACAGCAGTCCCTCCCGGAACATAAAGTCCCACAGAGCCAATGCTTCTTGCTACACGTTTGCACCTAACTCCCTGACTTTGAAAAAAATCAAATGCCATTATAAGATGATAATAAAAGAAAATGTAAGATAATGGAATCAACCAATGTCTCTATGAAACTTACCTTCATGTTCTCAACACTTCTCTCCTCCGACTTTTGAGCAGCATGAAATGCATAGATATTGTCATAAGCAACATCGAAGGCCTTTTTTATATGGGGATCAAGCTGCAATATTGAAGATGTTAGGAAAAAGAAACTGGTTTTTCAATAACAAAAGAGCTACAAAATCTAGTAGGCCTATTGTAGATTATATACAAGAGAACTGATTTTTCAATAACCAAAACTAAATTTCTTGTTTCAAAAAAAAAAAAAAAAAAAAAAAAAAAAAAAAAAAAAAAAAAAAAAAAAATCTAAATTTCTAATTAAAATAGTCCTTGAGAAGTATCTTATGAATACCTCAGGCTCTGGTAAGTCTGCAACATCTTCAACCACCTTATCCAGTTTGACTTTGTCAAACTTGACGGTATATCTGTTAGGGGATCATTACACCAAGTAAGTTTATAGTGCAAGTTTGGACGTGTATTGAAAAAAATGGGAGAAAAACAGGATGTATATGGTCACCAAAAGCATAGATAACATACTCTTTCACTGCATCATCACCCCGAGTGCGGACATCATCAACAATGGGTTGGACCTGATAAGTTTCAAAAGGGATAAAAACCATTTGACTCCTTCAAGAATGACTGCTGTAATTTTAAAGATGAAAGAGAGAACCCCCCCCCCCCTCCACACACACACACACAACACAGTGAACACACACACACACACAAGTAAAAAAGAAAAGAGATGAGAATTACAAACACCAAAAAATACACTCATTATCCAATGGAGAGAACTAAGTTGGCTAGTAAATATGGTGGGATATCCTATTCAGCATTTGAGAGCATGTTAACGGAAAGGATAAGTAAATAGGGAAAGAAGATAGCTCACCACACTAAATATAGATGAAAAATCGATGCGGGGACGAGATTTAAGATTATCAACCTCAGACATAGAAAGTTCAGATAATTTGTAAGACTTCAAGGCACATTTCACCCCGTTGCTCATTGAACCTAATGTAAAAGCAGCACACAATTGAAGCATGCACTAAAAAAAACTCAAGGACACAAATTTCCCAACAAGTGAGTAATACTAAGGTAACAACACAAAGTTCTTCACAACAATATTACACCGAAAACAAGCAAATTTAATCAACAGATTAGAGAAAAATGAGCATGTCATCAACAAAAAAATGTTTCAGTTTGCACCAGAGCATTACATGATACTGATACAAAATTGTGTTCACTAGTTCCTCCGTTCCGAAATAGTTTCCAGCTTGTCTCAACCCATCAGAGGATATAACAAAATTATATTTAAATTACTGTGTACGATAATTGGGTCATACCAACACTCTGCAATCTCTGCACTCAGTTTTAGCAGGGTGAAAAATAATCATAAAAAATTACTAATAGAAGAAGGGTGACAAGTTCTTTCAAACATTCAGTATTATTTGGCATCAAACGGTCTATTGAGAGTAGTAAGATTAGTTAAGAGCTTTAAAACAGGGTGACGCAAGAATTGGGTAGCATATGTAAGCACCATTAGATCAACAAAAAAAACTAAGAGTCTCTATTAGAGTATTAGTAACAGGCAGAAGAGAGAATAAATTTACATAAACTTCTATTGCACCTTACATGTACTCGGGATATGTCTTAAACAGGTATATGTCCATCTGTCCAATGCAAACTGTACAGGATAATGTTCGACAACTTTATTACTTAAACAATCTTGACATTCCATTGTAAAGTGATAGTCTTCGTTATGCTTTATTTGTTATCGAGCACTCTAGCCTTGTCTCCTAGACTAATTATATCTTATTGTTAGCTCTAGAACTTTCACTTAGCATATGATTCCTGCAATCATATATAAGGTAAACCTACGACATTAATGTACAAGTTTTTCTACTTCTCTGTATCCAAGTGTCGGACTTGGCCATATTGGAAACATTAGCATTTTTTCATCTCAAGGCAAAGTCTCCAAGTGCCTATACCTATGTTGTACGGTCAAGTATCCATGTAATATCCTCGTATCAGAAATTCATACAAAACTTATTTCAGTTCACTTGCTTATACTATGCATCAATTCACTTGCTTGTTACAAGAACTATAACAGAAGTTTAAAAAATATATATATAAACAGCACCAGCTCCAGGAGAAGGGAACTAATTATTGAAACATCATCAACTTCTACAATTTGATACGATACGAATAAACAATTGTTCATACAACGCTAATATAGTAATATTGATAACTTTACATCCTAAAACACAAGAAATGAGATTAATTTAGTTAATAAGTAAGAGTACCATATACCTGATGACAAAATTCGAGGCCGGAAACTAGGTTTCGACGAGCAGGGAGAAGACAATCGAAAGGAACGAGCTTCGAAAGGGTTGAATAACAAACTGGTTCGATGTAAGCATACAAGTTTAGTCTCCATCAGCAACTCCTTCAACAAGTCTTAATTGAGGCAATTTATCAAACAGTTTGTGGGCAGCACATAAAAAAAAAATAATAATAATTATTGAAGCACAACTATCCAATTAATAAAAAATCTTCCAATTCACAAATATAAAGCAATAATACTCAATTTAACAACAAAAATAACGAAGAACACAACATCAAGAAACAAAATTTCAATCAAAATTGACCAATTACATAAATTGAATTTCAAGAAATAAAATGAATCAATTTTCGGGGAGAGAAATAATCGTAAATTAATTAGTAAATTATACAGTAACTGAATCGAATAATAAACGAAATTTATAAACTAGATTAATTTACAATTAAGGAAAAGAGAATAGAGAAAAGATGATTTTACCAAATTGGTAGAGAGAAAATGGGGGTCTGATGTTCAGTGAGTCCAGTCAGATAGCCTTGTCAAAGTGAAAGAGTTCTTTTGAAGGCAAGTGAAAGAGTTCTTAAGATTAAGAATGGGTCAGTCTAGTTTGGGTTTTTTTTTGTGAAAAAAAAAATTAAATAAAAAAATAAAAAATTAGTTGACATTTGATAATCTGAAAAATAGAAGTAAATAATCTCACCTTATAATAACAATCTAGTTTTATATATATATATATATATATATATATATATATATATATATATATATATATATATAAAATTTCTTTAAAATAAAATAACAATGTAGTTTTTTAATTCCACCTTTACATGTCATTTTCTTTTACTAACGGTCTATTCTCAATTTCTCATTGACTGAAATGAATATTTTATAAGAGAAGGAAATTAGGAACTGAACTGAACTGAGGTGAACTGAACTGAACTGAATTTCAACGCATGAGAACATGCCCTAAACCCTAACTTGTTAGTTTTTCAAAAAAAAAAAAAAAAAAAAAAAAAAAAAAAAAAAAAAAAAAACTCTAGAGAAGAAACGCCTAGAATTTTCGAATCTCCTTCGAAAGTCCCTAGGAGATTCAAAAATTCTAAGCGTTTCCCTTTAAAAAATTTCAGATTTCTGCGTTTTTGTCGTAATTTATGATACCAAACTTGGATTAAAACAAATAATATTTCGTATATATTAAACAACTTTTTAACCCAATTAGAATTACGTTAATACAAGTATTATATTTAGATATTAAGAAAAGTAAAGTGAACCAGATTCTGGCAAATTTTAAGATGCACCATGGTGCACCTAGAAATAGATGCACCATGGTGCACCTAGAAATAGGTGCACCACGCCTATACTTTTGAACAATTAGTAAAAAAAAATCTGAACAATTGCAAATTTTGAACATGTAGCATCTGAACATCGCAAATTTTGGACATTTAGTTAAAAAATCTGAACAATTGCAATGCATCATGCTTATACTTTTGAACATTTAGTAAAAAAATCTGAACAATCGAGAATTTTGAACATTTAGTTAAAAAATCTGAACAACGCCATTTTTGAACATTTAGTAAAAAAAATCTAAACAATCGCAATGCAGCACGTCTATAATTTTAAACTTTTAGTAAAAAAATATGAACAATAATAAATTTTGAACATATAGTAAAAAAAATCTGAACAATCGCAAATTTTGAATTATTACGAGTCAGACAAATTTTGAACTAACTCGTAATAATTCAATAGTTTTGTAATATAAACTGAACATTTAATGTATACAAAATGAACATTTCTTAATAAAATATGAACATAAAAATTGCATGTTTATGTTCAATTATTGTGACGTGTTCATATTTTTTTTACTAAATATTCATTTTTTGCATAATGTTCAATTTTTTTTATTAAATGTTCAAAAGTATATTCGTGGTGCACCTATTTCTAGGTGCACATAGTACTAATTGCCAGATTCTTTCAAAAAAAAAAAAAATGGCCCGGATTAATTTACCTTTCTTGGGCCAGCCCATATGAAGTTAGAAGTTTCCAACAGCAAGCAAGGCAGTGGTTCGTTTGACAAACTTTCTCCGCAATTCATCAATTTACTCCGCAACAGCGCCATCCATCGGCACAACCGTCGACCTTCTCCGCAACAACAACCGGCGAAACCAACGCCGGTGTCATTACCCAAATTCCGCTCACACAATGTATTTTTCCTCCTTTTCTTACTTTCATATCACCTGCTTGCATTATTTTTCTCTTCATTTTCAACTGTGAATATTTGCCAAATTAAAAGGAATTAGCTTTTGTTAGTAGTCGATTCTCGTACTTGATCAAATGATACTGTCAAGAATTAATTTATTTTTTTGGTAGAACATTGGAAAGGACATTGTTACATAACATCATACATTGATATGTATGTATTTATGTTACATTGTTGTATTTTTTAGGCTCTAATTTGCTAGCGAGTATAATATTACTGTAATAAAATTACTCTCAAATGTATTGCGATGTAAGAGTTAAGTTAAAATTACTTATATAGAACTATAGATCGTTCAAGTAAGGCAGCATAGCACAAAACACACTAAACAAGTGCTTTTAGTATTATAAGGCTAGTCCACCTCAGGGTAAGGACTAAGGAGGGGAGTGTTGTCTGCACGAGTCTGCATATGTAGCTCTCAGTTTCTCACTTCTCGGTTTATTTGCTCGCTTATGAAGCATTATGCAAGGCTGATTGATTATCACAAATCGGAACCTAGTTTTAAGAACAGCAACATTCATTTCTTTTTGGAAGCTTACAAGCCATGGGTGTCAGGGTGTGAGTGTGAGTAAACATTGAAAGCATAAATCCCCACTCTTATGACTTACAAGAGTTTCAACAACGAAAACAACAACAAAGCCCTACAAGTAAACTCCACGCTTTGTTAGCAATGGTAAAACCGTGTGGATAGATCCTAATTAACGCAATTAAAAAAAAAAATACAAATTGAACCCAATTGAACTTAGCTTGTAGTCAAATTATTTGTTTTGTTTTTTCAGATGGAGATGCTGTTTGGAACTCCCATACCGGTGACCCCAGGCTTTTCTGATATAGGCCTTAACAACTCATAAGGTACAACACCAGCTCCATGCCTATGCTTTAGATTTTCATCAGCATTCCTGTTGTCAATTGATTTGTCTAATTCACTTAGCCCATCTTGAAAATCTTCAAAAGCTTTATTTATCTCTTCTTCTGCCTCCCAAGATGGCTCCTTCTTTTGGCCTATATATTCCTCTTCGGATGAATGACTTGAAAGTACATCCAGTACTGCCATAACTGTAGCTGCCTGTGTCATTGTTGGGAAGCATTCGAGTAGTGTCTTCTCGGGACTTCTAATGAACAATGCCCACCCTTCATCAGTGCGATTTTCTGTAGGCATCTTAGTCCTAGTGATGGTAGGCCTGTTAGGGAAGTAACCTGCATAGGCGTATTGGCCGAAGTTGACAGCAGCATGGTGCCCTGAACTCACCCATATTATGGTTGACACAATTTGGATTAGATCTTCTGGAGTATTTAGGGGCAGCCACCCTTCTTTCTTGTCTCTATGCCCTTCGGTAATTACCTCCATCCACCAAGCTTGAAGCTCTTCATCTGATTTTACTAGACTCGGATCTTTATAGTAGTGGCTTACATATTTTGTTACCCACTTCTTAATGCATCCCCATAGGTCTAAGCCATCTTTCGCGTATGGATAGTCATCAATTATGAGCCTCACTCCATGTTCAGCTGATGGATCTTCAACTGCCATTCCCCTATTATATTCCAACATAGAGGCTTGTTAATACGAATGAAGTATTAGTTATTTAGAGAATTAGAGACTAATGGGTGCATGATATGAGAGTTTGTTTAATTCAAATAATTCCATGATGCTAAACCAGGAGATTAAACTACCTGTGTAGCAGGTCAGCTGGTAAGGCTTCGCGATCAAACTGCCACTCTGATTTATAGATGGCAGAGCTCATCTCTAAGCAGTACTTCCCAGGTGAAAAAGTTCTCTCAATTATACCATCTGCATTAACCAAAGCTAGCCTAGCAAGGGCGTTGATCTCCATAGTGTAACGGAAATGAGGATGCAACAACCTATATATTGGGTGCATAGCGCTCAAATGCCTATTTGCTGCAATTATGTAAGGTTCTGTGCAGCAATGTGCTCTAAGCCTGAAACCAACCATTGAACCAATCAAATTAGACATGGTAGTAAAATTCTATGTAAAAATAAAGTCAAAGTTATAGGAATTTAGTCAACTAAACTGAACTAAACTTATTGGAGCTGAACTGAACTGAATATTTTATGAGAGAAGGAAATTAAGAACTAAACTGAACTTATTGGAACTGAACTGAATTGAAAATAATCTGAAGAGAACAGACCCTAAAGCAATACGAGTAATTTGTTACATACGCGTAAATAAAGAACAGATTAGAGTTTATGGAAATAATTACCAGTGGCTTATAAGTTGGTGGTAGCCAGTGTCATGAGCAAGGACATGAGCCTTGGCAAGCTTCCAAAGCCATCCTTGAGTGGCATTGTTTCTTGGCATAAATACTTCCTGATACGGAACTGGATTTTCTTTAGTCGGAGGCCGGGTTAACTCAATAGCAAGAGGTTTTAATGCTTCATCATCATCATAGATGAACAAAGTTCGCGATGCATATAAATTCCTCCCCTCAAGCTCCGATACTCTGTTTACGTAAGGCATAAATGCATCGTGGTAGTCAATTATGAACAATTTATTCTCTTCCACTGCCTGCAATACAACAATATATAGGATAACATACAAAGAAAATCATGAGATTAACATACAACATTTTAAATTAATTAATCAACACAATTGATTATATAGCAAACCTTTCTTAAAGTCATATGATATCGTCGTTTTAACTCATTGTCCAGCAGTTGTTCTGTCAAAACTGACTCAAATTTGCCGCAAATTTTTTGTTCTAGGATACTGTTCAGCATCGATATCTGTAAAATTAGCACACACTTAATTAGTTAATTAGCATGTTTTTTAGGAAAATTATCACACCAAAGTTAATCTAGAAATTAGCTAGTTCGATGGATTTCATAGTTCGGTATATTGGAATAATCTACCATAAAGACGTGATAATATTAATTAGGAACAAAAGAAGTATGTAAGCATCTTTTAGTTTTAATTTGCAGATTATACCGTGACACGCTTGATGCTTAAAGGATTCATCCCAGCAAGAGTTTGACGAGCAAACTCCTCATCCTTAAACCATGAAAAAGCATCCCCTAATATACATTCAATCACATACAAATTAAATTTAGAAAATGTGAAATAAACATTAAAACAGTTGTAATAATATCATATATCACAAAGTAACTACTACGTACTTCGATCATATACCAAACGACGATATTATAATAAGATGAAATTAAAGTCAAAATGTGACAATTATTTTGAAATGGAGTAGTTTTACGGAGTATATTCTTACGTTCAAATATCTGGGGGAGCTCAAAACGGAAAACTTTTTCAGCAGAATCAGAGGCATCTCTGATAAATCTATGCACCACATCTTGTACACCCCCACGTTGTTGCATATCAGGACACTTAATTTCTTCGTTGAAGAGCCTGTTTATGGCTGTGATGAATGGATATTCCTTATCATCATTGATGAACTTTGTCTCCAATGGTGGTATTAAATGATGCAGCAAAGTGTACAGGGTACGAAATCCGAATTCTTTCAGCTTCAGTTCCGAAAATGTTTCGTCTCTAGGTACATACACATTTTCTTTAAATAAGCTAACAATGCTACCTGCACCAATGGCGGAAACCATAATTTTTTATAAGGGGGGCAAGAGTAATATATGTAGTGGGAAAGTTTTGTATGTGGCCACATTCGTGTATAAGAGTAATCTCCATTTAATTGTATGAGTAACCTCATTTTTTCATAAGAGTAATCTCATGTTATCCATAAAAGTAACTCAAATTCAATATACGAAAAAAACAAGTAATTTAGAAATAAGTAACCTCATTTGTTTATTCGAATAACCTCTATTTTATTTTTTTAAAAAAAAAAAAAGATGAAGGAAAAATTCCACATATTTAAGAGAGTGGTTCCTTTTTTCTCATTTAAGTAATCTACATACGTTAAGGTAACCCCATATGCTCATCACCGTAACCTTATTACAAATTAATTGTCTTATAGTATGTGATTATGTAAAGTGACCAAACCATGTGGCTAGCCACATATACAGTGTATTTGGATAAAAAAAAAATGGGAAAGAAAAGGAGGAGAGAGAGGTGAAGGGGAAGGAAGAGAAAGGGAGGGGAGGGGAGGGAAGAAAGATGAATTTTCCTTTCAAATCTCTCTATTGTTGAAGAGATCAAATTCTTACAATTTAATCCCTCCATTTTTCTCCCCTTCAATTCCCTTCCTTCCTCATTTGTTATCCAGATGAAAGGTAATTTTACTTAATTTTTCTTTCCTTCCATTTCCATCAATCCAAACAAAGTGATAAGAATTTGTAGAAATATATAGATCAAAAGAAAGTGAATGATAGTAGAAGTACCTCCTCTTGCAATAAGACTTCCAGTTCTACACCGCCTTGGGTAAGGAAATTCTTCACTACCACCCAAACTTGGTCGAAAATTGCCCGGATCACCAAGGTCATTGTAAATGTCATAGTCATAGATTCTCTCATGAGGAAGGCGTTTTTCTTTAGGTTTTGTATCCCCTCGCAAGATTTCAAGTTCATACTCCCTCAGCCTTTTCAAACCACTTGGTGTTTGTGATGGCAAATACGACTACAACATGCATCAATGGAAATTTTTCTATATTAACTTCAAGGAAGACTATTCAATAACTACATAAATAATTTAAAATGCATGAAAGAGGTGTATAATCGAAGTACCTTATTAGTAAAGAAGACCCTACTTTCTGAGTTAACAGATTTGGGGTGCACCCATGAATTACAACTAATAGTTTGTTGTGACATTTCAGGGAAACGTTCAAGAACAATGTCAATGACGTGCATCTCAGTACGGTGTTCATTCTCGACTTGTACAGCACCCACCTTTCCGAACCCTGGCTTAATTTCTATATAAGCCACATATTTCGCAAACTCAACCTCAGGAGGCTTATATCTGTCCTTAGTTTTATCATCCTTAGCAACCGGAGTATACACTTCGTCCTTAGCCGTTGAATGATAGGCGGGCGCTTTGGGTGTAATGTTCTCACAACCCGTAACTTCAAATCAACAGAAAAAACCACAAACAAATAATTAATAATGAACATTTTAGGTATTTTAAGCGGACATTACACTAAACTAGTGAAAATTTACTAGAAATAATGTTTTTACACTTACTTGGGTCAACCTCAGTGCCAATTAGCTCCAAGTTTAAGACAGCATGATGACAAAAATCAGCAAATTTATCGGCTGTTTCGCTAGGAAGGTGGGATACGTACTCAACAATAGATGGTAATTGTACAAAGATGGTGGCCTTGACATATTCTTCAGTGGATATATCTGAAAAGGCTGTTTGGATTTTGTCGATATTTTTGGCATGTATTTCGTCATTAAGGCTTTTATCATGGTCTGGTTTCCCTAAGGTGTCATCTTTATGATGAACCGGTGGCGTTGGAGTTGGAGGTGGAGTTGGAATTGATGGCCCAGGGGTTATGGTGCCGAAAAGGTCTTCAAAGTTGGGCATCCTATCGAGTAATCTCATAAGGACCATTATTCTCAATATTGCAAGAACTGACACAATAAGCAACACGACCCATGAAAACCAAACCCCAATAGCCATTTTGGCTCGTGCAATGCCTATAAATAGCCACCAAAATGGGGGGTTGATCAATCTCAATGTAGCCACTAAAAGCTTAACGAGACTTTTCTATGTGATACAAACGTAACAAGCTTAAGTTATTGTCTCACACACGAAATAAATTTTTTTGGTGGATGTCTTTCGACAATTTTTAAACAATAACTAATGGGCTTGGATGGGGATTGTATCGGAATTAAAGAAGAAGAAGAATAATAATATTAGAAGTTGGATTTTTTTGATGGGAAATGGAGTTACAATAAGGTTTCGTTTTATAGATGATGATGAGGGCATGCATGGAAATTAATTTTGTAGTACTAGAAAACTAATATGACTATTAATAGGATATTATGTTAGTTGGAGATGGGCACGACGTCAACGTGCATACAAGCTCAGGAACCAACTACATGGTTTATGTGACTAAAAAAAGTTTACCTTTTTTTGGGGTCATATATAATTACTTTAGGTGAGTATATTAGGGGAAGGAATATTTTAATAGACTTTTGTAGACTACAGATTAGCACGTTGTGCATATGACAACTAGGCCAATTCGGTAGGACGTTGACCCAAATTAAGAATAGAAAACTCTTTTATTTTAATTGACTTTTAACCTTTGTACATCAGAAAAGACCGGAACAACTGGTCGACTGTATGAGGTATGCCCACATAACCCAAAAGGTTCATCCTAAAATCAATTTGTAAAAAGTATGGTAGTCTACCAATTATCACTAGGGGTGGCAAACGGATCAGGTCGGGTCATATTCGTGTTCGGGTCATTTCGGATTCGGGTTGAAACCCCCTGACCTGAACCTGATCTGTTTAGCATTTCGGGTCGAAGTTCTTGACCCTAACCTGTTCGGGTTCGGGTCAACCCGAAGTTGACCTTGTTCAACCTGATTTTTTTTTTTTTGGGTAGATTAAAGAAAAATTTATTACCAATAAAAATCTTAAAAACAAAAAGAAATCAATACAAATTGAATCTCAACTTTAAATCTGTAAATCATAAATAAATTTAAATGTAATAAATTTACAACCAAAACTTCCAATTAAAGGGATTTGAAACTTAAATTTACAACAAAATTTTAACTTCTCAAAATCCTTCACATGCTGGTTTGTTGTTCGTTCTTTCCTGCAAACAATAACAAAAACACATTAATAAATATTCAAGTCATCAATTTAGATTATATAAAATACAAAATCAACTTTCAATAATATGTATATTCAATTCCAAAACAATTCAAACCATAAACACTACGACAAAGTAGTAGAAAGTAGATGCAATTTTCACCAATTTCATAAATAGCCATCTTAATATAAGAAATATCAAATCAAACAAGTAGATCTAGATATTAAAATACAAGCTAAGAACATCTAGATGTAAAAAAATTAATAACTAATGATGAATTCGAATATAAACAACAAATGACTTCGAAATTAAACAAAAATTAACATGTTAAAAACGAAAAAAAAAACCCTGAAAGCATGTAAATAAATTCAAGAGGAAAATTACCTTGAGATGATGGAGAAGGTTAAAGGAATGATTGTAGGACTGAAGGAAAGGAGTGAAGGAGACACAAGTGAGGCAATGAGACAAGGAGAGAGGAAGAAACTGAAAAACGGCTGTTTGCCTGTTTCAGAAGGACAATGTGAGGGTTTTAGGGTTTTTCTCTTTTATTAGGTGGATTTTTGGGCTTGGGCTTAAGAGTTATTTTCGTTTTTTCTTGTTCGTTCTTTTTTTTTTTTTTCGGGTTAGATGGGTCATTTTCGGGTTGAAAATTTCAACCTTAACCTAACCCATTTAATTATCAGGTCGGGTTCGTGTCGACCCATTTAAGTTTTCGGATCATAAATCTCAACCCAAACCCGCTATTTTCAGGTCGGGTTCGGGTCGTGTTTTCGGGTCGGGTCAGTTTTTGCCACCCCTAATCATCACCATTTGATATCGAAAGAAAAAAACATTGATGGGATATGTGTATATATCTCTCCAACTTTGTGCTTTGTTACGCCTAATTCTTCTAAACTTATTTTCGTTTCAATTTAAATTAAGTTGTTTAGGTTTAGTAGTTATTTTTCAGTTATGTTTAATTCAGGCCGTTTTAGTTCAGTTATCATTATTATTATCATTATTATTATTATTATTATTATTTCTACTACTACTACTACTACTACTACTACTACTACTACTACTACTACTACTACTACTACTACTACTATTACTACTACTACTACTACTACTACTACTACTACTACTACTACTACTACTACTACTACTACTACTTTAGTTTAATTATGTCGGTTTAATTTGATTCATTTCAGATCGGTTCAATCTAGCTCAGCTCATAAGAATAGGGCTTGGTGTTAGTGACTTTAGTGTGAAGTGTATGTTTGCCTAATTAGGCTGCTAGACAGTTTAGCCCCAAACTTATGATCCAATTATAAGGGTATTGTTTCTGCAGGAATCCGATAACCCGAATTCAAGATCCAAAGCTCGAGTATGTAACCCGTTCTGCTCCTATCGGCCAAATAAGAACCTGCACAAAGAGAAGAGATAAGCTAGCCCCGGGGTGAATCCGGGGATAACCACTCCAAAGATTAAGTCAATAAGTGTTTATAGAAGAGAGATGATTTAGAGAGAGAAAGTAGTGAGAGAGAGAGAGAGAGTGTGTAATTAATGCTACCTTCTTTATGAAGTAAAACCGGATTATTTATATGTTTACTAGGTGACAGATGGCAGTTCAATAAGTAACATAATTTCTGCCACGTGTCAAACGTGAGCATGACAAGTGGCAGCTACCTACGTGCCGATATGTATACTTTATAGGAATGCCGATATTAACAAAAGCCATTTGATGGATCGAATTCAAATAGTGTGTCGGTCTGTCATACCATATCGGTCCATTATGATTTCCGTTATGTAGATATTTCCCCATACAGGTATATTGGGCCTGTGAGATAAGTATTCCATATTCCATTTTTTTTTTTTTATTATTATTTTTTTTTATAAAGTACTCCATATTCGTTTTTTTTACTTTTTTTTTGAAAGTATTCCATATTCAAGTAGCAAGTGCAAACTTAGTAATTTATTTACTCCACCGTCAAATCTCTTCTCAGCTGCGCCGCCCGTAGCAACCACCGTCCTCTTCCGCCACCACTACCGGCGAAACCACGTATGATGTATCTTTTTCACCTTTCTTATTTTTTTTTTGGGAAGTTAAAACCTAAAAATTAATTAAACTGCTTTAATGATTATAATTAGATTAATTTGATGGGTGATAATTGACATAAATTGTATTTGCAATTGTTTCCCTTTTAAACTAGCGAAAATAAAAAGTACGGAGTATAATTTTCTGGAAATATATTTGTAATTAGTGAATATATATAATCAAAGAAGGCTTGAAGCCTCATCTTTCCGAGATTTATGCTAGGACCTTAGCGTATTACTACTGTTTTATGAATCTGCTGGTTATATATCTACTACCTTTGTTAATTGTTTTCTACACCTTTCGTAACGTAAAAAATTCTAAAGTTGCATATAACAATCAACAAAGGTAGTATTTGATTTGTTGTTTGTGGATTTCTGTTGCTACATTTTTGCAAACTGCTATTTAACGACTAATCTTGATGAATTACCAAAGTTTTCGGAAATACTATTTGATTTGCACTGCTTCCCTGAAATTTTTTTAGTATATACTTTGATGAGTTTATAATTTTATGTGATGAATTCTTGTAAGATTGACATTAGAATATTGGATGCTAATGACTTCCTCTGCTTCATACCTTAGATGTTCTAGCCTTCTAGGTATCATCACATGTATAAGTCTATAACTATTATCAAATAACCTTTTCTGGAATGTAAAAATAGTTTATTGATCTATACTCATACAACACTATAAGTCTATAACTACTATCAAATTGCACAAATTAAATTTCCCCCCTACCCCCTTGTAACACCAATAATTATGATGTGAAGCTAAGTTAAGCTAAATATCCTAAATTATTACAACCAATTAAAAAATTTCCTTTCTTATAAAATAAAGTTGTATATAAAGATTTTGAATTGTAGGTTATGGGTTTGGATTATATCGAAATGCTGTTTGGAACTCCCATACCAGTCACCCCAGATTTCGAAAATGGCTTAAGTAGTTGATATGGTAAAGTTCCTGCTCCATTTCTGTTCTTCCACTTGTTATCTGCATTCCTTGAATCAACAACATTCTCCAAGTTTTTCAAACTAGCATTGAACCTCTCAAATGCTGATTTTATCGTTGGATCTTCAGCCCACGAAGGCTCAGTTTGATCACCTATGTACTCCTCATCAGGGGAATGATTCGACAACACACTAAGAACAGCCATAACTTTTGTTGCTTGCAGTTTGGATGGAAAAGTTTGGAGCAAAAAACCAACTGGATCTTTAGCAAAATTTGTCTTTGTTTCTTTAGTGGGGTCTTCTGAAGGCATGTTGATTCTTGCAATGGTAGGCCTGTTTGGGAAGTACCCTGCATAAGCGTACTGACCGAAGTTGACAGCAGCGTGGTGCCCTGAAGTCACCCATATCATGCTTGTTAAGACTTCAATAAGGCTACTAGGTGTGTCGAGCACAGGCCACCATGTCTCGTCTTTCTTGTCTTGATGCCCTTTAGTTCGAATCTCTTCCCACCATGCTTGGAGCTCATTATCATCCTTGACTAGATGTTCTGTAGCATAGTAGTGGTTGACATAGTCAGTCACCCACTGCTTGATCGCGTCCCAGAGGATAAGCCCATCATTGGCAAAAGGATAGTCCTCGATTGTCAGCTGCAAACCATGGGGTGCTGATGGATCTTCAATAGCCAATCCCCTAATGAAATTGATATTGATACAGAATGAGTTGTTAGAGATGGAGTATGACATAATTACACATCCAATTGAACAATTTTGTATTATTAGGTACCTGGCAATAAGATCAGCTGGCAAACCCTGTTGATCAAACCTCCACTCCTTGTCATATACATAAGAGCTGAACTCCATGGAATACTTTTCAGTAGAGAACGAGGTCTCAATGATCCCACCCGCATTAATCAAGGCTTGTCGAGCAAGAGCATTGATCATCATGGTGAACCGAAAGTAAGGGTTCATGAGTCTGAAAATTGGATGCATAGCACTGAGTTGTCGATGGGCTGCAATTATGTAAGGCTCTACGCAACAATGAGTCCTTAGCCTGCAAAACCGAACAATTCTCTTATTGTTGATATTATGATATGGTTACTAGAAAACCGAAGAATGAGTCCTTAGTCTGCAACTCTTCACATACCAGTGGCTAATAAGTTGGTGATGACCAGAATCATGAGCGAGTACATGAGCTTTAGCAAGCCTCCAAAGCCAGCCCTCGGTAGCATCCCCGCAACTCGGTGAGAACACTTGCTTCCATTGTGGCTTCCCATCATCAGTAGGAGGCCTTGTTAGCTCAATCGCAATAGGCCTAAGAGTGCCTTCAGGGGTGAGGAAAAACAACGTTCGTGATCCATACAATGTTGTGTCTTTAATCTGTCTTACTTTGTTCACAAAAGGCAGCAACAAATCATGGTAGTCCAGCATGAAGAGTTTCTTTTTCTCTAGAGCCTACAGTTTGCCAAAAAATACAGTTAGATCAGAAATCGAAGCCTTAAATTCAGGGGAAACAGAGAGTATATATGATCAAGTACCTCTTTAACAGACATGATGCCCATGATCTCTTCCTCGACCAACTTTGAAGTGATTGCTGATTCTGGTGGACCATAAACTTCAGGATCTAGGTTGCTCTTCAGAGGCCATTCCTACAAATTGTGTTAGAGATTATCAGTTCGAGTCCAATGTTTGAATTTGTACGTAGTTGTAAGTATATGTTCTGTTAGGCTGCCATGTTTAAATATTTGTACTCAGTCTATAGCTTAATTGTTTTAAGTCTCGGAATAATATCTAAGATTTGAGATCAAATTTTATCTACATGACTCGTGAGCAAAGAAATAAATATGTATCGCGAGCAGTTACAAATTCATACCGTGACAAGCTTGATTGCGTAAGGATTTAGACCAGCAAGAGTTTCGCGAGCAAACTCATCATCTCTAAACCAAGCAAACTCATCTCCTACACATCCCATACAAAAACGTTATCTTCAATGAACAAAAAATAAAAAATTAAAAGTAGAGAAATTGAGATTTGAGCAACGACTTACTGTCCATTAATTCAGTGGTAGGAAAACTAATAACATCTTTACTATCAAACAGGTTAGGCAACTGATCTTTCATGTTACTTCTGTTTTTCATATCAGACAGCTCAATTCCTTTGTTGAACAATACGAGTATCTCTTTGAAGCTTTCGAATCCGAGATTCGTATCAACAATGGTTGCCTCTAGAGAAGGTAATAGTGCATGCAATACATTGTCTAGGACATTGATCCCAAATGTTATCGATTTCAAATCCGAAAAATTTTCGTCCCTTGGCACGTAGAAGCTGCCTGCCCTTTCTTCTGACGATGGATCTATATATGTATATCACAATATGTAAGTGAGTTAAGATGGAACCAATAATTAAGTATATTTAAAAAAAACAAATTATTAATTGAGTGACATTTTTGTAAATAAATCATTAACTTTTTTTTTTTTTTATCAAATGTACCTTGACCTTCATGGCCACATACATGTTACATCAATCTTATACGAAAATGTCACATCCACAATTGAAAATTTGTAATTATGCCATATGATATTAAATGCTCTTTTTGTTTATCTCCATGATAAAGAAGGCTTTTTTGAAAAGTCTTTCAATTAATTCTCCATATGCAATCAAAATTCGATTTTAATGGCTCTTTGGTTTACTAGTCCTAGGTGAAATTACCTTTCTTAGCAGGTGGACGTCCGGTTCTACAACGCCTTGGATAAGGATGTTTCTTGGTTCCTAGAACCGGCCGGAGAAGCTCAGAGTTACTATCAGGATCACCAATATCGTTGTAAGTGTCATAATCATAAATTCTATCATAAGACCGTCGTTCTCCTTGTCCATTGCCCCTCAAACTCTCAAGATCCTTTTCACGCAAACTCTTTAATCCAGCTGGAGTTTGTGATGGTAAATAAGCCTATAAAGTAGAGCAAAATATTGTAATTATTGTAAGTAATAACATAAAAAAAAACAATATGTTTGAGCTAATAATAATAATAATAATAATAATAATGATTAATTAAGCAATTCAAACTCAAGCTCGCAACACCTTTTATTTAGGTGCACATAGAAGTAGGTGCATCCAAAGTTTATTTATTTTTTTATTTTTATTTTTTTTCTCTCATTTGATATTTTTGTTCTCATTTTAAGATTATAAAATGAATAAAAAAATATTAAATGAGTAGAAAATACCCTTTAATTTCGGTGTATATAAATTATTTTACAGGCCCGAGCTAACTAGTTGAATTCTTAATATTAACTTGTCGAGTACTAGTTTGTTTCATCACACTTACCTTATTCGCGAAGAAGATTCTTTTCTCAGGATTATCGTACTTGGAATGCACCCAAGACTCACAATCCACCTTAACAACACCTTGAGGCAAGCCTTCGAGGACGATATCTTTAGCGAACATTTCTCTTCTATGCTCATTTGTAACTAAGATTGCGCCAAGTTCTCCAAAATTTTCATGGACTTGTAACTTTGATTCATACTTGGTTTCATTTTCCTCGGGACGTAAAAAGATGTTTAGTTTTGCTGGTGCTCTAATTGCCTCCTTTTCCAAATTTGCCCCTAACTCTGTAAGATCAGTACGTATATATCAATTCCTCATATTATTAAAGCAAGAATTATAAAACAAATCAATTTTTTTTTTTTTTTGGATTCGATTAATTATGAAAAAAGCTCGTAACAATTAAATTGGTAAAAACTAATGTCCTCAAACAATAAAATTATGCAATTAATTAACCCCAAATCAATCTAAATTAATAGAAAAGGTGTTTCATTTCAAAAACATTTTTTAAATGGAAACGATATACATAGTTGTGAAAAATATCTCATTGGAACGAATCAAATTAAAAATTCATGCATGAGACTATTATTTTCAAACAGAGGGAGTACATCAATAGTTTTAACGCGTGAATGATTGTATAAATGAATACTTGTATAGAATAATGAACCAACATACTTGGATCGGCGGAGCTAACAAGTTCCAAATGGAGAGCATTGCCTAGCAAGAGATCTGAAATGCCATCAATTCCTTGGCCTAAACCAATGTTCTTCAAGAACCCAGTAGCAGTTAATTGGACAGTAACAATAGCTCTAACACTAATTTTTTTAGCCATAATAAAATTGATTTTATGAAGATAAATTACACTATGATTTTGTTTTTTTTAAGGTTCAAATAAAAAGGTGGTACTAGTTTAATCTCAAGAGCACCGTACCCTTTATATATAACTCAATTATAATACCATTTGCGCGTCTTACTGAAAGCTACTATTATTGATAAAAATAATAGTCTTCTAATAAAAACAATTTATTTAAGGAAATTGTAAAAACGTTGTTTCCAAGTGGACTTTTCTAGATAGCTTTCATTGTCAACGAACCCAACTAGTATTGCGAGAAAACTAACTTGATAGGGGACCAACAAAAGTTTCAAACAAAAGTTCGTATTTGTCAAAAAAACGAAAGTTCATACAATGTTAAATGCATGTGTTATGTGGATAATTTCCTACTCCCTTTGTCATTTAAAAACTATATGACATATGTAGTACGAATGAAGTAATTTCTATATTGGATTGCATGTGGTTTACCATGTCTAAGGGCCCTCGTCATTCAATTAGAAGGTACTACTTGAAAGGTATGAGAAGAAAATTCTTTAACAAGGCCGGTCATATAGTAGCTTTGTCTATCATTCAACTATGTAGACTAATAATAGAACTTTCTTTGTTAACATGTACTCGTACTTTTATTTATCTTGATTGCAATGTTAATATATATAAAATAGAAAACGAGTGAAACACCGTCATATCATAATTGGACCTGACTCAAAAAGAGGGAGCAAATTAATGGGAGGCTACCTAATTGGCTTTAGATCTTCAACTAGTACTATTGTTAGATTTGTAGATTTATTATTGTCTAGCAAAATTCACCCTAATTTAGGGCTGAAGCCTGAAGGATATATTTCTACATATTGGATGTCTCGACAACATATTATTCAAAAACATTAATTTAATAGGAGGATTTTTGGGAGTTCAAGATTACCCAAAAAAGTAAAATGTTTCAAAATGTAGATATGGAATTGAAGTTCATAAGAATAGAGGTGCCAATTCGAGTAACTAGGTCGGATTTGGTGAAACCTGGTTGGCTTGAGTTCATTTTAAAGTTGAGTCAATTCTAAATTACTGTGTTCCTTTGTACAAGTCGAAACTTGAATTGATCTTTTTAGGGATTATATTGAACTGAATCGGGTCAATTTTTAACACATTTATATAAATAATTTCTATATACAACTAACAACAGATTTTATGGATTAAGTGAATATATATATAGCTGGTCTTATGGATGCCATTGCAACTATCTAAATTAAGAATCTAGAGATTAAGGTTTAGGTCCACAATCCACATCAATGCCTTTTCCCCCTTCCCCTAAAAAATTGTTTATTTCAAATAAAACCGGCAAAATCTAGCTCACACGATACGAAATTAAAAGAAGGGTAATTGTCAAGGGCATATAAACCGATCAATTAATTTAAACGCGGGTCAACACGATACATTACTTATAATTAACAAGGCGGATTAGTGCTAAGATTTCTAACAGAAAACTTCCACAATTCAATCCTCCGAAGAAAAATGGTCAATAATGATTGGAATTGAATACTAATTATTGACGAGGTAACTCTTTTTAATATAACGCGACAACACAACACAAATCAGATATGAAAGAATCAGCTGGTTGATTATTAATGTCAAGCTAGCTAGCGTTTCAACACATATAATTGAACAACACACGACACTACACATTTATGTTGTTAGTTCTAATCAATTTATGCTTCAATCCTATCTTAGCAAATTTATGATTCAATCCTATCTTAGCAAATTAATCAATTTATAACTGAACTGAACTGATTGGAGCTAAGCTGAACTGAAATTAAGCTGAAGTGAACAAACCCTTAGTTCTTTTTTTTTTTTTTAAAAAAAAGCAATATGCTTTAGTTCTTCTATCTAGAAATTTAAGTATATATTTATCTCAAATTTTTTTTTTATTATTTTTGGGTGAAAAATTATACAAAGTATATTTATATTGACACCATTCCTTTTTTCTTCACGTGGAAAAAAGGAAGTCTACCATCTTCATTTACTTCAAGCAAAGAAGAAAAACGAAAAGTATTTCGTTCCAACATTTTACACCAACCAAATCAACCTTGATGATTTGATTAATTAAAAACGTTAGTGTAAAAGACCTAGTCTTTTTTTAATTAAAGAAGACTATAAAAGTCAATTAAATTAAAGGTTGGCCTGGCAATGACAGTTCACCAAATCTTTGCAAGAAAAGTAGTTTGACGTACACTTTGGTCTATTTCAAATGTTAATGTTGGCTTCTCTTTCTCCATATAGTAGTTAGACGTAGCTCGTACTAATTTAATTTGATAAGGGCAAAGTCGTATATGTTTGTTAGGTTAAATTTAACGTGTTAAAATAGCCTTTTGTTTGGAACGGTTTTATATTATCTCAATTTTAGGAGACTTTGCGTACATACAAAATCATTTTTTGTGTTGCACTAAAGAAAAAAACATATTTCGTGTCCAATTAAGCACACTTACGTTTTGTTATACTCTATGTGAAAAACACTATTATTAATGTTTTCTTGTAAATGTACTCGGATAAACCTTCTGTTAAAAACCAATTAAAGGCGAACAAAACAAGAGTCTGAAGATAAAATCTATAAGAGGGTGACGAAAGATCGATAATAGGGATTAGGAGGGTCATAGAATGAGAGGCGGTGTGAAAAAAAAATCAAGGGTAAGTAGTACGAGTAGGATTAGGTGTAATTAATACCTACCATGTGTGTAAAAGAGTCATAATTTTACTGATTAATGCATATATACAACACTTTATTGTATACTAGCTCTTACTAGAAGACTAGAATGTTGTTTAATGAACGCATTCTAATTGATTAATCCTTAATCAATTGCGTATTGTTTAGTCAGCAACGTGTATCATCTCTATACACATACACATGCATGATAGTATGATACATTGTTAGATGTATTATATACAACATTTTATAGATTATATACATCGCAAATTCGCAATAAATAAGAAACTTACTCAAATAATACACTAAGAGAATGTTTGGTATGAAAATTTGTAACATAGGAAACGTAAACAAATAAGTGTTTCCGTTTCTATTAGTTTGCTATGAGCTATAAGTAACAAATACCGTTTCCAAAGGGTAACAAAATCCCCCAAATTAAATTGTTACCCTTATCCAACTAGTGGAAACAAAATGTGTTTCCCTCCTCAATCATAAACTCCTCAATTTGTTTCCATTTTATAAAGATACCAAATAAATATCAAAGGTAACGTGTATCATTACCCTTTCCCTTACTTATATAAATCCTTTTTCATTCTGTTTACGGAATTTATACTAAACGCCCCCTAAGTAATAAATGATGATATACGGAGTATTGATTACATATTAATTAGTCAACAACGTGTATCATGTCTATACACATACATGATACACGGTATCACCTACTAGAGGATTAGAATGAGAACACCCTTTCAAAATCTGGATAAGTGAAGCACTCCGGCCCTTCCTTTTTTTTTTTTTTTTTTTTTTTGACATAATAATATCATTAGATCAACCTTACTAACGAGGTTTTGATAAATTAGTATTTCCTTCATTGGTGAAAAGGCGTCACATTTACCCTTTTTAGCATTTCTTTTTCAAAAACTTTTGCATGGCCCCGGTTTACAATAATTTTATTGTACATCGAACATTTTTCGAAAAGTGATCCTTTTTACTTACAAAAGTGACCATTTTTTTTATAAAAGTGACCCATATTTTCACAAAAGTGACCCTTTTTTTCCATAAAAGTGACCCTTTTTTCTTATAAAAGTGACCCTTTTTTTTATACAAAAGTGACTTATATTTTTACAAAAGTGATTTTTTTTTTTTCAAAAAAGTGACCCTTTTTTTCCGCAAAAGTGTTCTTTTTTTTTTTTCCACAAAAGTGACCCTTTTTTTTTCCCAAAAACAGAGTATCAAAATCAATAAAAATAAACACAAACGCATGCAAAAGTATACTTGATTGATGTCGTATGCTTAACGAAATAATGACAATTAACTTAGCTTGTTTCTGAAATTGGGGCTTGAATTGAGAGCTTCTCCTTGTTTAGCTTGTTTCTGAAACAGAGTACCGACGCGAAATCAGGCAGAACAATTCCTTATTGAATTCTTTTACAGTTTATTCCTGCTTCAATAGGACATGAGGGGATTTTAAAATCAAGAGTTTATAATTTCTTTGGATGGATAACTAATGTCCTTTCTAGACAAAAATTTGAGATGACGATCTACAAGGAACAATAGATCGGAGTTCGGCCGGATTATTGGGAGATGCTAAGGGAGTTCGACGGTGGCGCGGCAGCTGGGAGTGGCGACAGGGTTGGTGGTTTGGCGGTGGGTGTTTTTCTCGGCGGTGGTCCGGCTGACTTCGGCGGTGGCTCCATGACTTAGAGTTGATGAAGTTACATGCCCAGCCCGATTTACACTAATTTAGTGTAAACCGAATGTTATTAAATAATTGTGTTTCTTTTTAGGGCCTGTTCTTATTGACTGAATTCAGTTAAACTGAACTGAGCTAAAATGAACTGAAATAAATATTTTATAAGAGAAGGAAATTAGAAGCTGAATTGAACTGAAAATAAACTTATGAGAACAGGCCCTTAGTGCTTACGTTTCAATGATTTTGTAAATTTATAATTATTCTTTTACACATTTCCTTCCTCCATACATGCATACTCCTAGCAAAGATTGAACCGCGAAGACCTATGTACAATACGTTCGGATTCTAAATTCGTCCCCTCCAATCTCCCAAGTCCCAGCCGTTATTTATATAATACCCTTGTGGCTGATTTGATTAAAAATTAAAAACTTGATTAATTCAAGTATATACGATCAATTGCTCGTCATTGTCATACTTAGAACATGACAAAATTGACATATGTTAATATGTACAATGTTGTTACAATAATTTTTGGAGAATTAAATCTGATTCACGTTTATTCCATATATGACATCTAAAATGAAAAAAAATTGAATTAGCTAGGCATTATATTATTGATCCATGGATTACACATTATCTTATCTCCAAAGCATCTTGATTTAGTGGTCCTATCTTAATTTATAAATGGACCACTCCTGATTCAT